AATACAGTTGTGTGTGCTATACACATCTTCCTTCCCTTCCCCTCTCCTTTCACAGCTGGCAGATCAACTTTCCCACCTCCTCCTGCCCTCCCTGCCCCCGCCATGTCACCCCCAATAAATCACTTGCATGGCAAACACCAAGTCAGCCTTTGCTTCCTGGAGGACCCAGTGACAAGCAAGCCGCTTCCTCTGAGCTCCGGCTATCTACTCTGCGGAGCAGCACGACTTCTCAGGGCTGCAGGAGGCTCTGCAGAAGCCCTGAATGTGACCTGGAGGAGCTCCACAATGTGAATACCTAACTTTGCACAGCATTCGCTAAGGGCCAGGCACTGCTTGCAGTCCTTGCGTGGACTCACCCTTGAACCACAGGAGGGAGGCACCTCCATGGTCCTTGCTTTTACAGATGAGAAAACACAGATCCCTAGATGGCTACTTCCCCTGCAGGTATGCCCTCTCTGGGGAAACCAGCTCCCACCAGCATAACATAAGCTGTTTCCTAAATGGGGAAGTGCAGTAGCTTCTCACTCAGAGGAGGACCAGCCTCTTCCCCTCAGCTGAGCCATGCAAGCAGCCCCAGTTTCTAGAAGGATCCAGAAGATTCCAAGCCGCTGGCCTGGGAGTGGCCAGAGGGAGGAGACTGACTCCCAAACTGGAAGTAGTCCACCAGGCTGGAACCCACTTCCCCTGGTCTCTCAGGGATGTCCTGAAGATATCACACAGTCGCCATAGGAACACCAGTAAGCCTAGTCTTCGTGTCAGTGCAGGGAGGCTGGTACCAAGGCCAAGAGCAGGGGAGGGGAGGGGGGAATTCCTGCCCAGGGTCACCCGAGGGTTAGCATCTTTACTTCCTTTGTTTTTTGTAGGTGCGAATTGTTTTTTAAATTCAAATATAGTCGATTTACAATGTTGTGTTAATAATATAATACCTGTTAGTATCAGCACAACAGCATAGTGATTTAGTTGCATATATATATATATATATATATTCTTTTCCATTATAGGCCACTACAAGGTATTGACTATAGTTCCCTGTGCTACACAGTAGGACCTTGTTGTTTACTGATTTTATATACAGTAGTGTGTATCTACAAATCCCAAATTCCCCATTTATCCCTCCCCCCTCCTCTTTCCGCCCAGTTTGTTTTTTATGTCTGACTCTCTCTGTTTTGTAAATAAGTTCACTTGTGTTTTTTTAGATTCCTCATATCAGTGATATCATACAGTATTTTTCTTT